TAAATGACAAACGACAGGTGTCTGTTTATGTTTTCATGTAAATGAGTCTTTCATGTTTTACATGGTACAAATATAAAAGGTAACAGCAAATCCCACCTGATTTGATTCACAATATGAATTTGACAAATTATGTTTTTAAAAATCACAGGAAAATTGGGAACGCATACAATTTGAAATTGTTCTTTATTAAATGTGCTCCCGTATTCAATTTACTCAATCTGTCTGCTGGGAAAGTTTGAGGAAGCAAATCTTTCTTGAAGAAATAACTCGCTATTCCCAGCATTTTCATATGTGTTACACATATATATGGCAATGGCTCAATTAAAGGAAAGATGTGGAAGCGATAGAAATATAAAATTGATAGATTTTCATTCATGTTTTTCAATTTTTATTTTGAGGATTTGAAAATATTTCATTTTCAAAATAAAAATAATTTGATGATAATTTGTTTGTTTGTTTACATTTTTCTGTCAAATGAGTTGACACTAGTAGTGGTTGTTGCATAACAACACTTTTCCTTCTATTATTATACCATGCATGTTTTATAACATTTTCTTGTGAATTCGAAGTGCAATTAAAGCTGTAGTCACATCATTTACTCCATAGTTTGTACAAATTGTTGCTGCAGATAATGCTTAAAATTTATATAGTGAGATAAATTGAAAAATAAGAAATTCTGCTCGAATATATGTATATTTCGAACAATAGTGTGAACCGATATAAATGATGGTTTAGGATAACATAAAATATGCTTATATCGTCCTTTTGCAATAAAAATACTACAGTTATCGTCTCGAAGAATTATCAAATATACACATATTGCTCTGTTTAATATCCTGAAAACAATCTACTAAACTTTGTTTGCCACTGTATACTACTACATCTGTTGAGAAGTTTTCTGTTTATATTGATTTTTTATTTCGAAGTAGTCACGGTGTTTATTTGCACTTAATTCGATTGTTATTATTAGCAACAAGTTGTTGGCAAATCAAATTACAAACTTCCTGACACTCTCATTTTTGTGCAACGCTCTCTCTCTCTCTCTTTTCAAAAACATCTCTATTCACCATATTCTCTTTTTTGAAACACACATACACTCAAAACCGGTATACAACACAGATTTCATTTGTTTATTATCATCCTCCAAGGAAATGGGGATTAAATGAACAATCCTTTATATTGGAACGTACGTGTGGATGTGTGTGTACTGTCATCTCTTGAATCTTCTGACATTGTTGTGGATTGGAATATAAACAAACGATAGCATAAAATTTAGTATATTATGTCGGTATGTATGCATGTATACAACAAAAACAAAAAGGGACATGACAATATCAAAAGCAATGAAAAAGGTTAGTAACCGCCGACAAGCCGGCATACCGGATACACAAATTCATCCATTTGTCCCCTGGTCATGTAATGTGAAGCAAATATGAGTTGCTAATATGAAATTATGAAAATATTTACTTTAGATATTCTAAAAATAATTACCTAATTAAGGATGCGACGCATATTGTACGTGTTGAAGTATTTTCGTCGCACAGCATCCATGTACATACGAAGAAGAAAATTTGTAGAAAACCGACATAAGTCCATAACACAGAACCTGAGTACTTTTGTATACACACAGTGTAGGCACAGCGTTTGCCACATAAATTTTTTATTTGTCGTTTTCTGTGTTTTTGTTTATTTTTATTTATTTTTTTTTTAGATTACACAATTGCACTAACGAATTCTTTTTACATCATCCTCATGATTATTATTTGTCGTTAATTGTACACTTGTTAGTCGGGACATGATTAATTATTTGCATTATGCCGACAATTTGTAAAATCTGTGAATTTAATAACGTTTGCCACACGCACGCACACCAAGAATCATATTAACCCACCGCAGGTTCCGACAAACGACTTACAACTGATTCGAAGAAATGTGTATTTCAAATTTGCATTTTCTTTTCTTCCTCTCTCTGATTTTGTACGATGCCATTGGTGTTCGTATTTCACCATAGTGTGCTCGTAAAATTGCAATAAAACTTACCGTTAGAACTGTGTCGCGAACCAATTTAACGGCAAATAATTTTAATTTGAAATTAGTGAACGTTCCGCTTAACCACGTATGAACAATAAACAGTGTCGGTTAATTGAGTATAAACAAACAAAATTATTTTACAATTTCAATAAAAAGGACATGTGTGTGCCAATGCAACAACAGCTGGTTAAGCTTCGTTTCGTTTACTTTCCCAGTAATGTTTACTCTCAAGAGAGAAAATTGCAAAAAGTAAACGAACAACATCCAGTAAAAAGGTTGTATCGACACAGCCGATTAAAACTATAAACAATTTGGCGCAGCATTTTTATTAGAAATTGGATAAAAAGTCGAAAATTGATGTTCTTTATAAATATTTGCGTTTTTTCATCCATTTTAATGTTTGATAATAGAAAATCAAATTAAAATTCACAAAAAATCAATTGGCTTGAGAACATTTTTATTTATAACAAAACAGCTGATAAAATATCAGCTGATGGTACAAGAAAATTCTTACTGAGTAAATTTTTCCTTGTAAGAATTTGCAAATACTCAGTAACCTAACTGTCAAATCTGCTCTCTCATTTCACTTTCTTTTTCTGGACTTTGGGTAAACGAACAACATTTTGTAATAGTTTGTACAAATTATTGAGTAAACGAACGAACCTATTCTTACAAGTAAAATTTACACATTAAAGATTTTCCATTAACATTAGTTGATTTAAAATATAAAATCACGATTCCGAGTAAATTTTACTGAAAAAGAAAACGAATATACCTTATATTATAATAATAGTCCCAATTTAGATTAGGCGAGTTTACTTGCGGCAAGTCTTTGTTTGTAGGAGAGAGGGGCAAAGGCTATACGTTTTGTGTATTTCGTATTTTTTGACATTTTATATTTATTTAAATGTAAAAAAGAACTATTTACAATAAATAAAAAAAATATCGCATGAAGCAAGTTCAAAAGAGAACGATAAAAATTGCCGCAAGTAAACTCGCCTAATCTAAATCGGGACATATCTTTGCCAGTAACATTTATGGTCTCTTCCCGTACTACAAGAATCTACTAGATTTTACTATTTTCTTCGATATCATAAAGAAAATTTGTTATCGTAGTAAAAAGTAGTAGATTCTTGCAGTACCGGAACAGATCAGTACATACTAAGCATGGTACAATTATTACAAGGTAGAGCACAGCTTCCAACTGATTACTTTATTCCAAAGAGTTAGCCGTTTTTATTTTCTTTTGCAATAACACTGAGAAAAGTATTGGCTTTTTGGCATATTGGCTTTTTTATATTACAATGAAGGGTATTAATAAATGAAAAAAAAAAATGAAAAGTAAACAGACAACGTCAAGTAATATTTTGCAAAATATCACGTAATTTCACTTGAAATGCTTGAAATTTTCTTTTTAGACAACTTTTTCCAGTATTGGCAAATATTTTGCAAAATATCAAAAATTTCACTTGAAATGCTTGAAATTTTCTTTTCTGTTCGTTGAAAACAATTTTGTTGACATTTCCTTTTGAACCTATTCGAACACACACCCGGCTTTTGTTTAAAACCTGTTGCTTTAATTTGTGCAAGTGAAATTTAATTTTTAATTTTTGCAATTTATATAATAAAATATATAAAAAAATAAATAAAATATTAAAAAAAATCTTTAAAATGCAAACACTTTTGACTTTTATTTTCTTTATTTTGTATTTTGATTCGCAAATTTGGCAAAGAACAATTTGCTTATGGAAAAGCAAGCGAAAATTTCAAAAGAGAAAACAAAAAATTTGCCAAATAAAAATCTGCCTGTGGAAAAGCAGACTTATTAAGAAATAATATTCATACTTTTATATTTTGGTCTTAATTTTAAATTAACGACAGATTGAAAACCATCGAAAAGCGTAGAACTGTCAAACTAGCTTTCTCTATTCGCTTTCTTCTACTGGACTTTGGAGTTAACAGACAACATCCAGTAAAATTTGGTAACAATTGTTGCCCTTCCTGGCTATGCCATACCCTGTAATAATTATATTTTTTACTTTCCTTACTTCGCATGGTATAATTATTACAAGGTAGGGCACAGCTACCAACTGATTAAAATTTTTCTCAAGGTGGCTTGTTCTATCAAATCAAAATACATATTTTGTGTATGTGAGTGTATTGTTTTAAATACTATGTCAAATAAATTCAAAATAAATTGAAATATATTTAAATATAAATGAAATGAAAATGTTGTTTTTAATGCGTCCGTCTGGAAGTAATAACTCGTTATGGATGAAACAAGATCTGGATTTGGAAAGAAATCCTAACCTTTCATGCGTTTTCGCGTTTTTATTTCATATTTGGCAGAAAAAGCCACCACCTACATAGTTGCTTTTTTGTTATTCAACTCAAGCTGCCCTACCTTGTATTACTGTACCATGCATCGACGTATTTCGGTAACATTCATAATTCATTGGAGTGAATAACGTCGAAATTTAGTTAGTGCTGTAAGAATTAATTATTTTGCAGGTTTTTGTTGTTCCTGTAATTTAGGCATAAAAAATAACGAAACGAACTTCTTTCTTCATGTTCGATTTTTATTACAACCGTTTTTCACAATCCAGTTACTTGCTAAAATAGTTTATTCGATTTTTGTATCTCTATGCAAGAACAGCTGTTTTTTTTTTACCTTTCTTGTTTTCTCTTTCTAAACAATGTTGTTATTTTACGCATTTTCTTTTCGTCTTGATTCTAAACAAACCCTGCTATCATTTCCTGCTCAATAAATTAATAAGAAGAATACATTTGGGCTAACATTTCACGGAGCATTGCGAAATTGACAAATAGAAGAAGAATGGCGAAGTGTATTTGGATCGAGTCGTATTTATTTTTGTAAAAAATTAAAAAGTTGAATATCTTCTCCTTTTAAACCAATTATTTGATTAGAGGAAAGTTAATTTAGAACTAGGCTGTACAATTATTTGAAAATGGATGTTGAAACTTTAGCTGATGTGGTATTTCTCGTTGAAGGCTCATCTGCCAACGGAGCCTATATTAATGAACTGAAGACAAATTATATTGTTCCAACGCTGGAACATTTTAGCCAGGGACCCATCGAGGAGCGCGAATATCTAATATCCGAACGCTACTCCACACAATATTGTGTAATTGTTTATCGGACAACAGCGAATCTGTTGGAACCAATTTGCACGACATTTGGTCCATATGCTTCGCCACAAAAGGTATTGGATCTATTCGACAGACTGCCATTAGTGGGTGGCGGCATGGAATCCTGTGCAAATTTGGCAGAAGGATTTGCCACGGCTCATGTTTGCTTCGACGACATGAAGGATCATCGTTCGGGTCTGTGCATTGATGTAAATCTCAATACCCAAAAACATTGCATTCTAATGTGCAACAGTCCCCCATATTTAATGCCGGTAATGGATTGTTGGAAATATTCGGGTAAAACAGGTGAGTACATTATTGGCGAGTTGTGTATTTCTATATGTTACTTATAGGCATGTAATAATTGTAATAATAATCTTATTTTCCTTCAGTGGAACAACTCGCTGCATTATTTCATGAACGAAAGATCAACCTCTCAATAATTGCTCCACGAAAAATTCCCGTGCTGTTTAAGATATTTATGAAAGCAGACGGCGATCAGCCCCTGGCAGCTAAAAATTATGCCAAGAATATACGTCATTTGGTGTTACTCAAAGGATATCATCTTAAAGAACGTCCACAGAGTCCGAACAGTGCTGCCAATGCGATGGTGAATCAAACAAATCAAGTTGGTGGTCCCAACCAGGTGGTACAGCAGCAGCAACAACAGCAACAAGGTCAGCCCAATGTCCAACAACAACAGAATCAACAAAATACTGGCATGCAAATGGACAATTCCATGGGCGCGGCCCAACAACAACAGCAGCAGCAGCAAAATATGCAACAGCAAGTGGCACAGATGACTGCAATGAATCCGAACCAACAACCTGGAAATCCACTCAACCAACAAATGCTACAACAACAGCAATTTAATCAAAATGCCAATTTCCAAAATCAGGGCAATCGCTGGGTATTCAATCCGAATCAGCAACAACAGCAGCAACCTCAAACACGCCCCCAATTTATTGGAGGACCAAATGTTCCTGGTGGACCAATGGTTAGCCCCATGGGAGCTGTTAATCAGGGTATGCCTGGCCAGAATTCGGCATTGATATCGCAGCTAAGCGCTCCACCAAATCAAAACATGAATCCCATGTTGCAGCAGCAACAACAGCAGATACGCATGCAAATGCTAAATCAACAACAACAGCAGCAAATGCAACAGCAATTACAACAACAACAGCAGCAGCAACAAAATGTAATGAACCCAAACATGAGCGTATCTGGACCTGGTCCGAATCCGCAACAGCAGGTATCTGTTGCTAACAATCAGCCAAATACATCAATGGCCAATCAACAAAACCCCAATAAACCCTCTGAACCGGCAGGAATGAGAGATACGATCTGGTCGGGCACCCTAGAATGGGTGGAAAAAAGTAAATCGGATCAACAGAAGATGACTAGAACACTTCAGTGCACAGTTACAGCGAACATAAAGGATGGAGAACCTGAAATTAAGGCTGTCAATTGGCCATCGAAGCTGCTCATGCAATTGATGCCCAAACATCTAGTGGGCAACATAGGAGGACAATTCCTGAAAGAATCAAAAATGGTCGTATTTAAGCCACAGCCTTGTGAGGCATTAGATGCTCTGGCTAAAAATATGGCCACAATATTTGCTGGGTGTGTTCACTTCACAACTCCGGCAAATACACCACCCTGTGAAATCAAAGTGTTGATTCTTCTCTATACAGCCGATAAAAATGCATTCCTGGGCTTTATACCCAACAATCAGTCGCTGTTTGTTGAACGGTTGCGTAAAGCCATACAGCAGAAACAATCGATGGGCATGCAGCAGACAGCAACTGGAGCCGGAGGACCACCTAATAATATGCAACAGCAGCAACAACAACAACAGCAAATGCAAAATCCAATGGCTGGACAAATCAATACCATGGGTCCGGGTGGCATTAATCCCCAACAGCAACAACAAGACCCAAACCAGCAACAGCAGCAACAACAACATCAATTCAATCAATACAATCCGCAGCAACAGATGAGTATGCAAATGGCTGGAGGTCCCATGAATCAGCAAATGATGGGCGGTCCACCCATGGGTGGGGGTCCAGATCAAATGGTCGGTAATAATCCAATGCAACAACAAATGTCAATGATGCAACATCAACGTATGCCCATGATGGCGGGTGGAAATCCGAACCAGCCACAACAGCAACAAATGGCACCGCAACAACAAATGCAACGTATGGTACGACCAATGATGAACAACAACAATCCAGGCCTTAGGCATTTATTGCAACAGCAATCAACTCCTGGACAGCAATTTCGTCCACAAATGGGTGGCGGTGGCCCGGGGGGTGTACCCGGTATGGGTGGCGGTATGCCGAATCCAAATCAAATGGCTGGTGGTCCCGGTGGTCCAAATCGACCATTCGACGATAATAGTTTTGATTTTATGTAAAAGCATTCGGATAGCTACTTATGAATGTACGTGGATATGTCATAATGGTTTATGGAATATACTATATTGGGACACATACCATATTTATTACACTACATATAAAATAATGGAAACTATGATTTTTATATATAAAACATTAATAAAAAATATTCATATTTAAAAATACACAAAAGGTAAAACAATAATGCAATGAATAGTTGTTGCAAATTTTACAAAAAACTATTTTTACAAATACCTAACACTGGGTCAAACACAGCAGCATAAAAAATTCGGACATGCTAACAACGAATGCGTATTTCGAAAGCCTTCACATTAATACATTAGTGGTAAAAACATCGACGTAGTACGTTCTAATTTGTGTAGTGCAGTCTGTTTTGTATAATCAGGGGGACTCCATTAGGGAATTCTTCCAGCTGAAAAAATCAACCTTTCCGCAATCTATTCACGGATCTTTAAATCAAATTTAAACATTGGTATCCTATGTACCATCTCTTCTGAACCTTACACAATAGCGATCCCACTACCAAATTTAAAATTTTGGGGGTTCCGAGAATCAATGTAATGGCCTCAAGTAATTGAAGAAAGGCCATTACATTCAGAATTCAGGGCACCAAACGCTCTATGGTCACTGTTTGGTGCGCTCTATGGTCCTACGAGACATTGAATCAAAAAAAAAACGTCAAATTGGATTCTTGGATGCACAATTCATTGCATACTGAACACCTAGGATATGTTTGTTTGTTAGTGAATCCCTTTTGATTTTGCTATCTATGATGCTCTAAAGATTTTTCTATAGGGTGCAGATAAGATGATTGTTTTAGCCATTATAAAAGTATGTTTTTTGACTCCCGCAACCAATCGTTGACACGTTTTGGTGTATGTTTAGGGGTTATTGTCAAGCTGAAACACAAAAAAAAGGTATATTTCTTCAGTGAAGGGAACCATAGCATTTTCGAACACATTTGTATCGAACTCCGTAAAAAGAAAAACAGCCCAATACCATTATTGTCCTTCCTTCATGCTTACCAGTACGCTTGCTATACTGTGGCATAAACCTTTTTTTGAAATGTATGAAAACAACAATGTTTTCAGAAAAAATGGAAAACATGAATTAAAAGTAGATAGATATGTGTTCATACTATAGTCAGTAGAAAGAGAATTAATTTTTCTATTTAGATCCACATGCGATTCATGCAAATATGTTAGAATTTTGGTGTAAAAGAAGAAACAATAAGTTTGAAATAAAAAACTCTGATGACATGAATTAAGAATAGTGTTGTATGAACGGGTTAATTCATGTACACAATTCTGAGAGCGAACTACGTTGTTCGAATGCCCGTCAGAACATGGCATTAGTTGCTTTAGTTTTAATTTAGTTGCTTTAGTTTTGGCCACCAGTGTATATGTATGTAATAATAAAAAAATAATTCAAACACAAAGAGTAAATATAAGAAATATTTATTATAATTATTTTCTAATTAAATTCAAATTAAAAATTTAAAAAAAATACATAGATGTGTTTTTATAATATTTCTTGAATATATATGATTCTTTAAGCGCCATCTGAAAAAATTAAAAGTATACACACCCTATAAAAATCAAAAGGTATCCGCCATGACATCAATACGAATTGAGACGGCTGCAACACCCAAATTTAGCAAATTATGTTTTACACTATCTTACAAATATTCCCAAAATGTGTTATAAATAGACACGCCGATGACACAGTTCATCACATCAACGGAAATCCCTTGTTCTAACTTGTTCATTTAGAAAATTACCTCAAATAGAAAATCCCTGGCGGACGAAATAATGGTGCGGATATAAATAGCTAGATCGATGCAGTGAAGCGATATATAACAATAGATACATTCCAATGTGCGTGTAGGCCTAATGCTTCGTTTTATTGACAATACAACCATATAATGGGCCAAAACGACCTTATAATGCACCCCCAACAAGTTGTCCATAACATTGGTAAGATAAAGAAAAAACAAGAAATCGTACTAATATTGAAATATATTTAAGGGAACAGTAATGTTTATGTAAGAAAAAAAAAACATATGTATGTATTACACATACTTGGAACAATAAGTCAATTTCAATAGATTTAAATAATAATAACATAGATAAACAAATATAATATAGAATAAAATATTTTTAACAATTAATTAAATTTTGAAAGTGTTTGAATACATTGAAGGTATTGAAAGCTTAACATTAAAAAAATAATTTATAAATTCCTGAGTAAACATTTGTTTTTGCTATTAAATGTGTTATATTTTCCAAACAAAAAAATAATAATTATTATTAACAATTGAAAATAGTAATAAAAATCATAAAATCGATAGAGAGTTATATACATATAGATTCAAATACAAAAATAGTAGTTTTTTTTGGGATTGATTGTATATTAAAAGGTAGGTCAAGCTATTTTTGGAACAATGCGTATATTATTTTTGGTAAATTGTTTGGAAGATCAATAGTTAATATTATAAAAATATATAATTGAATGTTAAAAATATGTATGTATATATATTCGATGACGATATTGTCAATAGTTTTAAATAATTTTTTTATATAAAAACACTTTTTAAGCAATGACACACATTTACAATTAGAAACACAAATTCTATATATATATATAATATATATATATATATTTTACGACAACATTCCAACACCATCACTTTCTCTGTTACCAGATTTTTCAAAGAACATAGCATCCTGTAATAAAAAAGAAAATTTATATATATAAAATTAGTATTAGTTATAAAAAATAATTGCAAATATAAGGATCTAGCAAAATCTAATAAAAATGTTAACAAAAATATACGTTTAACAAGAGTCAGTGGCTAAAATGGGGAAAATTTCAATGGTATAATTGAACAAAGTTTTAAACTAAAGGAGCATTCGTCAACAATGGAAAAACTCGATTGCAAAGTGAAATAATAATATCCGAGATTAAAAAAATACATCTACAAGAATTACAAAAATGTGTAAAATATTTAAATCAACGTCAATGCCAATATACTTGTAATCAAACAATTTTCAAAATTTCTCTAGGCAATATAAAAAAATGAAACGTGTTTGTTCCTGAATCAGTTTCAAAATATTAAATTTTCATTTTCTTTTAATTCACCAAGATTCTAACACCATTTTCACTATTTATGTCACGTTATTGGTACCGAAATGTTGTTAATGTGAATGTGAACATATCGAAACTTCCCCAAGTTCACTCATTATTACATCAAATGCAATAATCCGTAATTATTTTTGTCTCACAAAGCTTAATAGTTTCAAGCAAAAATTTCTAAAACTTATTATGAAGTCCTCCTAGATTTTGATAAAAATGAAACCAAACTTTATTGGCTATTTAACTATAGCATTATGCAGTGAGAGGTTCCACTGTATGTACTTTTTCCGTTCATACAATTAAGGGTGTAAATAGAATGTGTTTCCAGAATTTAAAAATATTCTATGATGTTTGATATGTGTTTTAATTAAAAAAAATCAAAAATTAATTCAAATAACCGCAATCATTCATTTACATCAACAAAGAATTTATAAAGAAAAAAACTACAATGTATAACAATAGCAAATACGCAACATAGTAAAATTGACTGTAGATAATTAACGGTTTTAATATTCGAAAACTTTTTATCTACTTAAGAGGGATTAAAAAAGTACAATAACAATCGAAACTAAAACAGTTTAAAGTTTTAAATCACCTTTCAGCTCCAATAATTCATTTTCTAAATAAACAAAATGTTGATATGTCACAAATCGATATTTGTTAAGATATGGGATTTTATATCACTATATACAGTAGTATTGATTGATTCGTTTGATTCTGTTTTAAAGTATTGTTTGAAATTAGACCATAACCCTTTCCACAGCCTTTGTAACACCACGTTGAATACGTTTTCTTGGTGGCTGTACATTTCTTCCGTTAAAATAACGCTTATTATTAAAACAAATAAAAGTTGAATACAAATTATATAAAGCTATAATACAAAATAAAAACGATATTTTCGATATAGCGAATTAATTATATTCTCCACGAATTTAATGTTATAACAATCTTGTTCGAATAAATTATATCCTCTACTAATTTAAGGGTATGACAATCGTTTTTAAACGTATATGGTCAATAAATACAAATGTATTAACCCTGGTTTTAATCAGATCTGGCTAAAGTTGTAGATGGGTTATTATAAGATCATTAAACGTCATAGTTGATGAGCACGATTTGTACCAGAAATCAGTCAAAACTTTCTGTAATAAAATTAAAAATGGGAACAATGGCCTCAAGTCACCTGGCGGCAGACAAGAATCTCCTATATCTTATCCAAAGTATACACTAGTGGCCAAAACTAAAGTAACTGAAATTGCAAACATAAATGTCCCTTACATTTTTTTTAAAAATAAATTTATAGTGTAAGTTTTTTTAGAAATAAATAACTAATGGAATTACTTTAAAAAACAAAAATATATAAACGCAAGGTTTATTTTGAAATAAAAAAATTTCTATGGAAACCTAAATTGAGCCAATTTTTGTTTGGTCAAAACTTAAGCAACTTTTTATTATTTTTTTTTTCTTATAAATACGTAAATTTTGCTAGTAATCGACAGCACAACCATTATTTTTGATTACGGTAGGACACCTACGAGGCATTGAATCTATAAGATGTACAATTTGATCCTTGGGTATAATACTCTTCGCATCCTGAACCTGTGGGAAGAGGTTATGTTTGTCACTTTCTAAACCTTTTGGATGATACAACAACGATTTTTCTATAGGTTGAAGATCTGATGATTGTGCTGGATATTATAAAACCCTGATATTTGAATCCCGGAAACAATCTTTGACATGTTTCGATGTATGTTTGAGGTTATTGTCATGCTGAGACACCCAGTCAAGGGGTATATTGTCTTCAGCGAAGGGAATTGTAGCGTTTTTCAACACATTTGTATAAACAATTACATCCATTATCTCGTAAATAGATCGAACTTCATAAAAAGAAAAACATCCCCATAACATTATTTACTGATGTTTGAGCTTTTAATTATTTGATCTTCTCATTATTATTTTTTCGTGTTTGAACTTTTAATATTTAACTTTAATTCTTCCGATAAACAAAATATTTCTCCAATGAACAGTATTCTAATGTATATGATCTTTTGCGAAAGCCAATCTGGCTTTCCATTTTTTACAGCTATGGCAATTTGTTAATCAATACGAACGAATGTTATATTGCACCCTTCCTCTGTAAGGAACGTTCACTACCGATTTAATTGCATAATCCGATTTATAATTCGAGAAATCGATGATTTTTAATGGAATATTTCTCCAAAATATATTTTGTAATACATCCTTGCCATTTTTATATTTTTTATCAATAAGTTAAAATTGAAAACCAGATACATGTTGTTGTAATAAAATCCATAAAAACATCTTCTCTATAAGAAACGAAACATTGTAATTATAACTGTAAAAATAACTAAGATTTTCTAGCTCATCCGTGTGTACTGTTGCTTTAGTTTTGTCCAAGCAAAAATTTCCCTTATTCAAAAATTATTATTTATTTCATAAAGAATTTTGCATTAATGCTTTAATATTTATAAAGTGAAAAAATTACCGGATTTAAATAAAAAACCAACACGATATATTTATTTTAGTTGCTTTAGTTTTGTCCACCAATGTACGTTGGTCAGTAATAATTATTTATGTTTTTCTCTAAATGTTTATTATGTTTTATATTTCAAATATTTCGGGTTTGATATGATCATAGAGCGGACTTTGAACATCAACGTTAAACAACAAAAAACTTTGTACCAAAAATCTGATTTGTATTTGATTGTGGTAAACTCATGAAGACAATGTATTTTTTCTGTCATTGAACTCGTGGAGGATATATAATTGCCCATTACATTAATATTTGTAAAAGTAATACATATTTCTCACAAAATTTTAAGTTCTTTCATTTTCATAGTGACAGTAGTATACAAATAAATACTTACAATAAGGAATAAGGCACCCAACAGTGTTGCTTTCATGCGAACATCCAAGTCCAAGGGGAACGTAATGCCAAAGAAATCTGCATCTGTGAATATTTCACGTGCAAAGCCAGACCATTGTTTTGAGATTTTGCCAATATTTTCTCCAGTAAGCGTAACAATCTGCAAGGAAAAAAAGAAAACAATTCTTGTTAAAAATCACCGGATCTATTACTCGATAATCGACGAAACTTACCTGAAATTCAACATCACCGCACATGGAAAATGTACAAAATGGACCCTCAATACGTAGAACAGTATCACCCAAATGATTTTTAATACGAAATGCTGGTGAACATATGGTCCATTCTTGTTCAACGGTACCAACAACACTGCCGGGTGGCGATGACACCTCCATTGATTGCAAACAGCAAGGAAAGCAACACGACGAACAGGCCAACGGACGATTCAAGTGTATCACTTCATTACGGAAGTTATCGAATATTTTCATATCGAATGGACGGGCGGGACCACACATGTTACGTGTACAGCAATCGGTATCCTCAACAGCATAGTAAACTTTCTGTCCTAGGGCGTTTTTTATGGAGAATTTGTTATTGGTCTCAAAACCGGTAAATGCTTCTAAAAGTTCTACTTTTTGCTTAACCAAAAGCTGATCTATACTCGTAAGATACTCCAAACCGCGTGGACAATTCGGTATGCCGGCTGGTATACTCATCCATTCTCCTGAAAATAAAAAGAAAATAAAGTGATGATGTTATAATAAAATTATTAATTAATTTAACTTCTGACATTATGCTGAAATTGAAAAAAAGAAATGATAAAATACCAAAGACACGCTCACTTGTATCTCTGGCTTTATAACGGTAAAGTGATTCAATTCAATTAGATTTAATTGAGCAACAAAAGGCCAACGTAAACATTTCAATGTCGCCACATTACTGAACTGAAGAAACGGGTCAGTGGTTCAAAGTGAGCAGACAAGTGCAGATAAATAAAATAAAAGTGTCTTTTTTATCGTTATATCAACGATTTATTCAATTTTGTGTATTATCAACTATGATACTAAGATTGGATGCACGTTTTATTTAAATCTTGTTTACGTCAGAACCTCAACAGCATATAATCAGTTTGGCCAATTGTCAATTGTTCCGCATTATTTTGCTGGGGAATTTTCTTTTCTTAAAATTATTTTATGGACAATAAGGGTAGATGGGTGTACTTTTATTGATTTATGAAAGTAGAGAATTTCGTTTAAAATTCTACGCTCTTTGGAAGAAGATGTAAAGAGCAAGGATCTGTGGGAAAATTTAAATATCTTATATCTTTAGATTTTAGTAAATAATGCAAAATTCATTATGAAATAAATTATAATTTATTGAAAACGGAATTGTCTTAATTTGTGCATGTACAAAACTAAAGCAACTCTTGGACGAAACTAAAGCAATATGTTATAATTACTATGTTTCGGTTTCGACACCTTTTTTAATTCTTATAGATAATTTTTAAATGGATTTGATGAAAATGGCTAGGAACAAAAGCACTCCGATAAAACAGTTAATTACCAGTGATTGTGAAAATAATTTATCACAAAATATATTTTGGAGAAATTTTCCATAAAAAAATCGAATTATAAATCGGTTTATGTTATAAAATCGATAGTGAACGTTCATTATGAAGGAAGGCTACAAAATAACATTCTTTCGTATTGATTATCAAATTGTAATAGCGGTAAAAACTACCCATTTAAGACTTGAATGGAATTGGTGGGATGGTTATCGTTGTATATAACCTCAATAACAGAGCATTGAGGAGCTTGGTACCAGGTCTACATAAAAGAAAAAATTCAAGAAAGCCCATTTATTTTTGAAAAGTTTAGGAAAGCCAGATTGACTTTCGAAATGTTCGCATTAATTGGAATTCGACTCAGTGAATGAATATAATGTTCTCGGATGAACTAATGTTTAATATTAAAGTCTTACCGTGAGAAGATAATAAAATGAAAGGCTCAAGCCTCAGTATTCCAAGGGTACTGGGAAGCATGAAGGGGGGCCATGAGTTCATGGAGTTCAATCTATTTACGAGATTTATGATATAATTAATCATATTGTTTATACAAATGTGTCGTAAAACGCTTCAGTTCATTTTGCTGAAGAAAATATACCCCTTAACTGGATGTTTCAGCATGACAATAACTTCAAACATACATCGAAACATGTCAAATATTGGGTGCGAAAATCATTAATAAATGTTTTATAAGGATCTTCACTCTATAGGAAAGTCTTTGTAGTATTATAGATAGCAAAATCAAAGGTGATTCACAAAGAAACAAACATAACTTGTTCCCAAAGGTCCGGGATTTGTATACCCAAGGAACAAATTGAGCATATTACAGATTCAAATCACCCATTTATAATCAGGGCTCAATATCATGTTTAATGTGTGTTTTTTACATTACGTTTATCAAATCGACATTTTCATGTTTCAATCATTTTCTAACATATGTGTGTGGTCCACATTAGACGTATAGTTAACGCGACCAGATTTAAAAAATTAAAATAGATGAAAAAAAAGAAAAATATATTTTTTAATAAAAATAATAATATGTGTATAAAACTTACAATTAGATTTACTTATAAATATATATAAACAAAATAAGTTGAAAAGTCTTTAAGTACGATTAAGCAAATTTTCCGAAGCGAATAATCTTCGAACATAGCAAAGAAGTAGACCTATTTCGTAAAAAGTATTTATTAATTTGTTTTAATTTTCCAAAATAAATATTGATCACGGCTTTAAAAAAAAAATATATATATATATATATATGACAATGACAGATAATAGAAATAGATGACAGATAGAGGACATACATGTTATAGACGACAGTCAGTTAAAATAGATGATAGTCCTCTAAAAAAGATGACCCATGGTCACTTTAGTTTAGTCCACATTGCCCGAAGTTATTCTATTTATAAATAAACTATTTTGATCTACAACATTTTAAACTCGCTTGATGATTTCTTCCTCTTGATGGTAGTCTAGTGAATTGCCGTCATAATATTAATAAAATTCTATGAACAATGTTATCATGCCATCTAAAAACTTATTGACATGCTTCAAAAAATGTGATTTATTTTCAAAAAAGAAATAATGAATAAGTATTCCTTAACAATGACGTATTTACTTAGCATTGAGATTAACTATCTGTTCCAAAAAAAATGAATTTATGATACTTTAAAATGCTTTGACATGAAAGGTGTGTGTGAAATGAGTGTGAATTGTTAAATTATTGTTAATCTTATCACACAGTGACAGTGTTGTTATGTTTGCCTGTTTGTAAAATATGAATTACTTGTTCATGTTGACTATATATTGTGTCTTAAGTAAATATGTTTGTGCATGTATGTGGGGATTTTAAATATTTTCTTGGCTTTAGTTGTAGTATTCATCTAGGTTTATTAAACAAAAGAAAAAAGGAGAGCATTTTTTCTGTAATCTTATCACAAATAAAATGCTTGTCAGACCGATAACATTGTTCGTCGTATTATGAAAGAAATTTTCCAATTTTTTTTTTATATATTGAAGATATAGATGAGCTAGTAGTATCTATAAGGGAATGATTTTATTTTTAATTGTCACGTGACTAAATGTATTGAAATAGGATTTACTATCATATATATTTGGAAATAATATATGCATTTGCAAGATATTATACATTATATATATATATCTTTTTTTTTAAATTGTTTTATAAATTATATGCACATTTTATTATCATATTTAGTATTTGCATCTGTGTGTGTGACAAAGCAGAACATTTTGTTTACTCTTCTATTAATAGATACTATTGATACTTGTGTACTGCAGTTCATTTTTTCTGTTTTTTTTTTCCTTGAATATGTTGGAGAAAATCAATGCAGAGTAACAGCAGTGATAAAACTTTCTAAAATGACTAGACTAGATTGGTGACCGACCATGCTGATGATTTTGTTGTTCTGACAATGTGAAATTTTTAGGCAATGAATGTACATTGCCATTGCAAACTTCCATATAGTCCCTGGTGAAGTATACCTCGACAAGATACTAGAAGGAGAACATTAAGGGGCGGATAATGTAAGGTTATATGACGCCTTACTCAGGCAAAAACACCATTGGAAAATGAGCTGAAAATTATCTCCCAAGGGGATCAATTTTTTTGTGTGAGCCAGAGTAACTGAGAATATACCATAGGAAACGACTTATGGAAAAATTGTGAAAACAGTTACAGTGGTTGAGCAGATACGCTCGAAATACTATTCTTAATCTCATAACATTCAATTACTTTATTGGCGGATGTGAAAGCCTTCAACCTTCAAATTCAACTCATATGAAATAACGTGATACGATCCCTTGATTTCAGATATGAATTATGAAGGGACACAAATTGAGGACTTTGTTAAGAGGAGAGAATTCCTACAACTATAGATTAATATTCCTCAATTTGAAAATGTCGTGCTCATATTTTCAAATAGACCTCATGCAAATAACAGACATTACGAATAGGAATCCCGACAAAAGTTGGTAAAATAATATTTAACGGGTCTATTCCCATATTAATGCAATTTCTGATGGACGCCCTTTTGCTTGCCACATTTTCGATTAAAAACCACTTTGTGTTGACACTACTCAGGAGATGTTAGCGATAATTCAGATTTGCTCTAGACAGTCACAACTGGGCGCAAATCATTATCTCAATAGAATAGAAGTTTCCGCATGAGACATAAGTTGCTCTAAGACGGCAGAGGCGCCGTGCATATCAAGAGTAGACGTTGGTTTTTCCATTATATCTGATATAATCAATAAAGACATTTGCATTCAATCAAATTATTAAATTTCGAAAAAAGAAGAAAAACTCGTAAGGAAATTTTTTTAACAATTTTGTTTATTTGATTGCTGATGCCAATAATTTTGATGAAATTTATGAAAATATGACCAAATGTTGAGGACATTGTTATTTATGAAGCTAATTTGTTTAAATATTTTAATTAGTTCTTTGGAAGTCAAATAAATACTTTAGATGTATTAGATGGAAATTATGAAAATTATATCCAATTAATGGGACATTGTTATTTATCAAAAATAATTTTTCGAAATGTTATGATGTATATAGTTTCAAAACTTTTTTAGCAAAGACATGCTGAGATCTATCACTTTTGTCACGCCTTTCATGCACAGTCGAGTTAACACTTCAAGACCAAGTGGAAATTGTCATTTTTTAATTCGAACAGTTCAATCGGATTTGCACACACACGATTTCAAAATTACCTTTTATCTTCATCACTCATAAAGAATTCATAACCCTTCTTTTTCGCTGACTTATTTAGACGCATCGAATGGCGTATTGTCTTCATCAATGGCTTCTTATTTTCGGGACAAATAGAATTTTTCAATAACTGAGTACGTCGACGCAATAGATCATATTTTGTGTATAGAGTATGCCAGACAATACGCAATACCTTAGCACTTTTGCTTTCATCCTCCTGGTGATCATCGTCTTGGAAGTGGTGGTGAGGGCGGTAACGTTCATTTCGATTATCAATTGTTTGTTGTTGGTTCACAGCTTCATCGGCACAGTTCAATGTACTGCCGTACATATTGTTTTTATTTTGTCCACAAAATGTTTTTGACAATTCCAAAGTTGATTTAAAATTTGATACAGATTCACATATAACGGTCATAATGAT